ACCACGCCTGGCTAATTTTTGATTTATTGTAGAGATGAGGTCTCGCCAAGTTGCCTAGGTAAGTATTGAACCCGTGGGCTCAGGCAATCCACTCACCTCGGCCTCCCAAAGTGGTGGGATTACAGGCTGAGCCACCCAGCCGGCTCAGTAGAAATCTTTTAAACTCTGATAAGTCCATAAAAACCACTCCTTTAACACCATTTCCCAGAGCCAGGCCTGCAGTGGAGATGCACTGGCTTGGGGTGCCCTCTGGTGGCAGCGAAAAAAAAACACAGTCTGAGGTCAGCCTGGGGCTCACAGACCGTCGGGATCTGCACAGGCTACCTGGCCTTCTGCTGTGGAGAGCTGTCTCTTGGCAGATGGCCCAACCCTTGGGGGTGGCCCAGTTACACCTTAAGAAGGTTCAGTTCCCGCTCTGCAGATGGCCTGTTTTGCCAGAGGTTTCCAGGCCATTCTGTCAGCCTTCTGCTGATGAAGTTGGGCTGTTAGACTTCAGTGGAGAACAAGATGCTCTGTCTCTTGCTGTCCGGGGCAGGGATGGCCTCCAACTGCAGGAAGTACAGAAGCACCTGGACCTGCCCGGGAAGAGTAGGGAAGAGGAGGCGGCTCAGAGCAGCTCACAGCTGCAGGTGGAGAAGTCTTCCTGGCCCCAGCCCCCAAGTCCATTCCAGCTCAGCGTCCATTCCCTCTTGGTGACATGAGCCCCTTACAGCAAGAGATTGGGCGTGGGGTCCTGGGTTTTTTTATTTAATTTTTTGAGTTGGAGTCTCACTTTGTCGCCCAGACTGGAGTGTAGTGGCTGCTCCTGGCCACTGCAGCCTCGACCTGCTGGGCTCCAGCGATCCTTCCACCTCAGCCTTCCAAGTAGCTGGAACTACAGGCACGCACTACCATGCCTGGCTAATTTTTGATTTATTGTAGAGATGAGGTCTCGCCAAGTTGCCCAGGCGGGTCTCGAACCCGCGGGCTCAGGCAATCCACTCACCTCAGCCTCCCAAAGGCGTGGGATTACAGGCTGAGCCACCAAGCCTAGCTTTTTAAAAAAAATTTTTTTTGAGTCGGAGTTTCACTGTCACCCAGGCTGGAGTGCAGTGCCACACTCATGGCCACTGCAGCCTCTACCTGCAGGGCTCAGGCGATCTTTCTGCCTCAGCCTTCCAAGTAGCTGGAACCACAGGCACATGCCACCACGCCCCGCTAATTTTTCTTGATTTATTGTAGAGATGAGGTCTCGCCAAGTTGCCCAGGCGGGTCTCGAACCCGCGGGCTCAGGCAATCCACTCACCTCAGCCTCCCAAAGGCGTGGGATTACAGGCTGAGCCACCAAGCCTAGCTTTTTAAAAAAAATTTTTTTTGAGTCGGAGTTTCACTGTCACCCAGGCTGGAGTGCAGTGCCACACTCATGGCCACTGCAGCCTCTACCTGCAGGGCTCAGGCGATCTTTCTGCCTCAGCCTTCCAAGTAGCTGGAACCACAGGCACATGCCACCACGCCCCGCTAATTTTTCTTGATTTATTGTAGAGATGAGGTCTCGCCAAGTTGCCCAGGCGGGTCTCGAACCCGCGGGCTCAGGCAATCCACTCACCTCAGCCTCCCAAAGGCGTGGGATTACAGGCTGAGCCACCAAGCCTAGCTTTTTAAAAAAAATTTTTTTTGAGTCGGAGTTTCACTGTCACCCAGGCTGGAGTGCAGTGCCACACTCATGGCCACTGCAGCCTCTACCTGCAGGGCTCAGGCGATCTTTCTGCCTCAGCCTTCCAAGTAGCTGGAACCACAGGCACATGCCACCACGCCCCGCTAATTTTTCTTGATTTATTGTAGAGATGAGGTCTCGCCAAGTTGCCCAGGCGGGTCTCGAACCCGCGGGCTCAGGCAATCCACTCACCTCAGCCTCCCAAAGGCGTGGGATTACAGGCTGAGCCACCAAGCCTAGCTTTTTAAAAAAAATTTTTTTTGAGTCGGAGTTTCACTGTCACCCAGGCTGGAGTGCAGTGCCACACTCATGGCCACTGCAGCCTCTACCTGCAGGGCTCAGGCGATCTTTCTGCCTCAGCCTTCCAAGTAGCTGGAACCACAGGCACATGCCACCACGCCCCGCTAATTTTTCTTGATTTATTGTAGAGATGAGGTCTCGCCAAGTTGCCCAGGCGGGTCTCGAACCCGCGGGCTCAGGCAATCCACTCACCTCAGCCTCCCAAAGGCGTGGGATTACAGGCTGAGCCACCAAGCCTAGCTTTTTAAAAAAAATTTTTTTTGAGTCGGAGTTTCACTGTCACCCAGGCTGGAGTGCAGTGGCACGCTCACAGTCACTGCAGCCTCAACCTGCTGGGCTCAAGCTATCCTTCCACTTCAGCCTTCCAAGTACAGGTGTGTGTCATCATGTCCAGCTAATTTTTTGATTATTGTAGAGATGAGGTCTTGTCAAGCTGCCCGGACTGGTCTCAAACCCATTGGCTCAGGCAATCCTCTTACCTCTGCCTCCCAAAGTGTTGGTATTACAGGCATGAACTACTGCACCCAGCCTGTTTCTGCTTTTTTATAGAGACAGGGTCTGGCTCTGCTGCCTAGGCTGGAGTGCAGTAGTGCCATCATAGCTCACTGTAACCTCAAACTCCAGGGCTCAAGTGATCCTCCCACCTCAGCCTCCCAAGTAGCTACAACTAGAGGTGCAGACCACCACATCCAGTTAATTTTTTTATTTTTTGTAGAGATTGGGTTTTGCTATGTTCTGCAGGTTGGTCTGGAACTCGTGGCTTCAAGTGATTCTCCCACCTCATCCTCCCAAAATGCTGGATTACAGATATGAGCCTTTGTGTCTGACCACTTGGTTTTAAGCCCTAGGCTGGGTGCTACAGCTGGATCACCACAGGGTTCCCTCTTCCCCTCCCAGCAGCATGGGCTTGGGCAAATCCCTCTCTGAACCTCGGTCACTACCCTGTAGAATGCAGGTGGAAAGACTGGCAGTTCTCAGGGTGGCAAGCAGAGGCCATCTTTGCCAGGCCAGGGTGGCAAGGCTAGAACCTGTTTTCCTGTACCTGGGACATGACCTCCAGGGACCAGCTGTCGGTCATAGTGATGGGCTGGCTGGGGTTGGCCGGGAGCTTGCTCTCCTTCTCTGAAGGCCGGAGCAGCGTGGGGCCAAAGACTGTGGCAAGGTTGTGCAGGGACATCTTGTTCACCGCTTCCTTCTCTGCCACCCTGTAGCAGCCAAAGCAGAGGGTGCTTTCAGCATCGCCTCTGGGAGAGAGGCAGAGGGGCAGGGCCACCCTGGAGTCCTCGGGAACATGGCAGCTGGCTTATAGCATGGCCACCCGGGGAGGGAGGGAGGGACTTTGACCCTGGCTGTGGTGACAGCAGGATTCACCCCATGTTCCTCTAGGTCTGAGGGGCTTGGGGCAAAGAGCACTGGAGGCCAGCAGGCAGCTGGGCCAGCTCCGGACCATGACCCAGGCGGCACTGCTGGCCAAGGTCACAGCCTTGCTCTTTGCTTAAGGCCATGGTATGGAGGGAGGAGGGTGGCTAACGGGGAGGACAGCAGGGATGGCAATGGCGTTAGTCCCCAGAGGTAGTAAGTGGCTACAGATAGGGGTGAGAGAAAAATCCCTCGGTGCTGTGGGTCTGACAGGAGCCAGCAAGGCAGCCTGCTGCCTGGGTCCTAAAGTCCCAGAACCTGCAGATGAGCCAGGCTACCTTTTCAGGTGGTCCAGAAGGAAGAGGAAGGTCAGCAGGTTGGCTTCTGGGAGAGACAGCAGCAAGTTGAGCATGCAGCTCTCCTTTGCAACAGGGTCTGAAAGAGCTGCAGAAGTGGGGGGTTACTCCTCAGAGTCACAACGGGCTGGAGACCTTTCCCAAGGTGGCCAGTCAGAGTACCCGGGCCCATGTTGTAGGTGCCAGACAGTCCAGGCCAGTCGTCATCCTTGCTTTCACAGCACTGGCGCCAGTGAGGACCCCGGAGGTCACTTGTGCAGGGTATGAGCCACCCGAATGCCTCTACTTTATCTCAAAAGGGTCAACCAGCAATGGGAGAGGCCGTGAGGGTGGCTCATGGGCAGAGCTGCCCTCAGGTGATTCCTGCCACGATCTCTTGGGAGAAGCCCAGCATGGAATCAGGCAGGTAGAGGAAGGGGCAAGAAGGGTGGGAGGGCCTGAGATCCAAGTCCCTGCAGATGCCCTCATCGCTCTGTGCACCCTAGGGGCACTTGCAGGCTGGGGGGTCTCTTGCTGTATGGGCCCTAGGGCAAGACAGAGGCTGCAGCTCCCACACCTGCCAGCACCCCCCTTTGGAAATCACCCTCTGTCACCCTTAACTTAGGGTCAGACTGGGTGTGAACCTGTGCCTGACTGAGCTGGAAAGGGGACTGTGGCCTCAGGACCCTACACTGGGGCATGTCCACAGCAGCACTAACAACTTAGACCTCTTGCTCTACTCAAGGGATGGGGACTGTGGCAGCCCTGAGGATGGGCACGGATGGCAGCAGAGTGCCCCGCCATAGCCTTTGACACCTTCAAGGGCAGCAGCAGACAAGAGGGGAGGTGGGGAGATGACTTGCTTGAGGCCAGGGCCTCCAGTGCTCACCGATACCCTCGGCGAAGTTGGGGTAGAACTCGTCGGTGAAGAGGGGCTCAGGCAGCTCACGGAAGTAGAGCTTCAGCGTGCCGGCAATGGCGTTCACGTCCATCTCACTCATCATCACCGACACGTCCTTGTTGTCTGGAAAGAAGGGCCTCCCTGAAGATCTCACCTTGGCCAGGCAGCACCCTCCCCATACCTTTCCCTGCCTGGCCAGATGCGCCTACTCAGCAGGAGGTAACCAAGGGGAGCTGAAGTCACAGCAGGATCTACCCAAGGGTGCTGGGCACGTACAGGCTACTGGTCAGGACATTTATTTTGATTTTTTTGAGTTGAGGCCTCACTCTGTCACCTAAGCTGGAATGCAGTGGCATAATCATGACCCACTGCAGCCTTGACATGCTAAAGATGAGAAGACAAGAGAGTTGTCAGAGGAGCTTCTGCAGAAGTTGGTCCTGCCGGGCTCGGTGGCTCAGCCTGTAATCCCACGCCTTGGGAGACTGAGGTGAGTGGATTGCCTGAGCCCGCGGGTTCGAGACCCGCCTGGGCAACTTGGCGAGACCTCATCTCTACAATAAATCAAAAAATCAGCCGGGCATGGTAGCGTGTGCCTGTAGTTCCAGCTGAAGTGGAAGGATGAAGTGGAAGGATGGCCGGAGCCCAACAGGTTGAGGCTGCAGTGGTCGGGAGTGGCCACTGCACTCCAGTCTGGGCGACAGAGTGAGACTCCAGCTCAAAAAAAAAAAAAAAAAAAGAAGTTGGTCCTTAAACCATCCTAGCCACATGTGCCATTTGCTGGGTTGGGCCAAGGGCTTTTAAGAGGGATTGGCCTGCCTGCTCTGGGGCTGGACGAGAGGTACTAAGGCCCAGGGACCAGTACAGTCTAACCGCAGGCCCACTTGAGGATGTGGCAGTGCAAAGACCACCTACGTGACCCAGCTTCATTTGGGCCTGATCAGATGATCCTCCTGCCCCAGTCTCCTGAATAGCTGGGACTACTGGTGCATACCATCATGCCAGGCTAATTTTTTTTTTTCCCAGGCTAATTTTTGACCCTTTTTTTTTTTTGGTAGAGTTGAGGTCACACTATGCTGCCTAGGCTGGGCAACTTCTAGACTCAAGTGATCCTCTTGCCTCGGCCTTCCAAAGTGCTGATATTGCGGGTGTGTGCCACTGCACCTGGCTTGTCTTTTCATTAAAAAAAAAATTATTGGGCAATCCCTTCTGGTCCCTTCCCACTGTGGGGGCATTTCTGTCCTCTTAATAAATCCTGCTTTCTCAAAATAAAATAAAATAAAATATTATTTTCTTTTTTGAGTCAGAGTCTCACTCTGTCACCCAGGCTGGAGTACAGTGGCACAATCACGGCCTGTGCAGTCTTGACTTGCTGGACTCAGGCGATCCTTCCACCTCAGTCTTCCAGCCTTCCAAATAGCTGCAACTATGGGCACCACCATGCCTGGCTAATTTTTTGATTTATTGTAGAGACGAGGTCTCACCAGGTTGCGCAGGCTGGTCTCGAACCCCTTGGCTCAGGCAATCCTCTCGCTTCCGCCTTTCAAAGTGCTGGAATTATAGGCGTGAGCCACTGTGCCTGGCCTCTCATTTTTAAAAATAATAAAAGAGTAAGTGAAGAAAAGGTGCAGAGAATGACATGACAGGCCTAGACCACAGAGGGTACTCAGAGTCTTGGCATGGACACAACCGCCCACACCTCCATCCCACACTACCCAGTCCAACACTCACTGACGTCGAAGGCTGCCTTCAGTGCCTGGATATCCGTGGCTACTCCGGACACGCGGTAGATGCCCACCTCCTCCATGCCGCGGCGCTCAATCTCCTCCACGCACTGGCGCACGATGTAGGGTACCTTGGACCTCTCTCTCCTATGGAAGGAGGGGACTGTTCTCAGTACCCTGGCAGGCTGTTTGGGGTGCATTATGGGAGACCTGCTACCTCTCTATCTGCACACCTACACCTGGAGGTGGGATGAAGACAGGGGATGAAGGTGCCCAGGTGGGAGCTGCACACAAGCCTTTTGTATGTCTTCCCTCCCTTCTGTGAGCTTGGTTATCACCGCATGTATCTCATCAGGGCCTTTCTACGAGGCGGAAACAGTCAGACACTGTATAAGTTACACATGACCTTTGAGAGAAGGCCAGGATGCTTTTCTAAGTGAAGTTGGTTGTTGGGAGGGCATCTGAAAGATCAGGTTTTGGGGTAACAGGTGGCCACATGGTATCCTGGAGAGCAGTATGGTCTTTGACGTGGCCACACAGTATCCTGGAGAGCAGTATGGTCTTTGACCTGGTATCGGCCCTACCACTCACTTGCTATGGAAGAGGCAAATCCCCTGACCCCAGGATCCCTACCCTGGGCCCTCAGCAAGTCATCTGTCGTCTGAATGACTCCACCGTGTTGCCTAAGTATCAGAGCTCAGAATCCTGTGATTCTAAATGCTTTTCCCCCTGGGTCCTGGCAACCAACAGTTTCATGTAGGACCCATGTAAGAATTCTTCAAAGATGGAAGACAGTTTTGAGGCCTTAACTTAGGTTTGTTTTGCAATGGATTTAGGAGCACGTCAAAGCTCTTTCCCAAGCCACCCTCCTCAGCAGTGCTTGTTTGGGATAGCTGCTGATGGAGCCCTCTCCACTCATGCCCAGAGCCTTCCCCAAGCTGCAGAGGGGGCTGAGGTGCAGCTGGGGGCAGAGGGTGGTGTTCAGACATGAGTAGGTGCCCAGGGAATAGCTGACGCAGGCACCAGCTCAGAAGAACAGTAAGGTCAGGGGCCCGGCGGATTCCATCCTGGGGAAGTGAGTGAATTCTGGGAGGAAGGGGCCTGTGTCTGTGAGATCTACCCTCAAACCAACAAGCAGGCTTCTCCTGACTACTGACCCAGGACAAAGGGGCAGGGGTGACAATCATTCAACAGGAACCCAGGACCATGGCAAGTTCCAAGTACAGGAAGAAAATCCTGCAATCAGGCAGTTCCTGGAGTGGACCAGGAGCCAGCCTACTGCTTCCAAGGAAGGAGGTGGGGACATTCCTGAGCAGGTCCTGCAGTAAACACAGGAGGCAGCTGAGCACACCAAGTGTCCTCCTGGGGCCAGGGAGACCTCCCAGTGTAGTAATCACACAAAGAAAGGACAGAAGCATGCCTGCCCTTTCCTGCAGAAACTCCTCGGAGGGACAGGTGCCTTCTCCACTCACTTGGTAACCACAGCAATCTTGACTCCGAAGACCCCTGTCTGCTTTCGGGAAGGCATTCTCTTTAAGCTGAACTCCCTGCTGGTGAACTTGATCGAGAGCTTCACTTCAATCTGCAGTGGGAAGAAGGGGTATGGCCCTCTCACCCTCCTGGTCCTCATGGCCCAAGGTCCCAGGGGCTCCCAGAGGTCTTAGCAAATATTTCCACCCCCAGGTCAAGGACCCAGTGTGAGTTAGCTCCTCCGGGAAGCCCCTGGTCTAATTCAGCCAGAGCCAAGAGTGGTTTAAGGACTAGCTTCTGCAGAAACTCCTCCTACAATCCCAACTGCTTATCTTTCTTTCCTTTCTTTCTTTCCTCTTTTTTTTTGAGTTGGAGTCTCACTCCGTCACCCAGGCTGGAGTGCAGTGGCACACTCACATTCACCCCAGCGTCAATCTGCTGGGCTCCGGTGATCGTCCACCTCAGCCTTTCAAGTATCTGGCACTACAGGTGTGTGCTACCACATCCAGCTAATTTTTTAATTTATTGTAGAGATGAGGGTTTCTTCAAGTTGCCTGGGCTGGTTTTGAACCCATGGACTCAGGCAATCTACTTGCCTTGGCCTCCCAAAGTGCTAGGATTACAGGCTGAACCACTGAGCCCGGCCTTCATTTGTTTTTTTTTTTAAATAACAAAGACACGATCCAGCTATATTGCCCAGGCATTTGAACTCCTGGGCTCAAGCAATCCTCCTGCCTCAGCCTCCCAATGTGCTAGGATTGCAGGCATGAGCTATCACACCTGGCTGTCTTCCTTAATAGTAATTAAAAAACTAGGGAGAGAAAAAGTATAAGCCAGGCTCGGTGGCTCAGCCTGTAATCCTGCGCTTTGGGAGGCTGAGGTGAGTGGATTGCCTGAGCCCGCGGGTTCGAGACCCACTTGGGAAACTTGGCGAGACCTCATCTGTATAATTAAAAAAAAAAAATTAGCCAGGCATGGTAGCACGCGCCTGTGGTTCCAGCTACTTGGAGGGCTGAGGCGGAAGGATCGCTGGAGCCCAGCAGGTAGAGGCTGCAGTGGCTGGGAGCGTGCCACTGCAGTCTAGTCTGGGCACCAGAGTAAGACTTCAATTCAAAAAGAAAGAAAGAGAGAGAGAGAGAGAGAGAGAGAAAGAAAAAGTACAGAGAATACTATAACAAAAAAGTCAAGAATTATCAAATGTTAACATCATATATGCTCAGGCCTTTTTTGGTGTGTGGCCTTTTTTTTTTTTTTGGAGTCAGAATCTCACCTTGTCACCCAGGCTAGAGTGTAGTGGCCTGCTTACAGCCATTGCAGCCTCAACCTGCTGGGCTCAGGTGATCCTTCTGCCTCAGTCTTCCAAGTAGCTGGAACCACAGGCATGCACCACCACACCCGGCTAATTTTTAAAATGTATTGTAGGGATGAAATCTCGCCAAGTTGTCCAGGCTGGTCTCAAACCCCTGGGCTTAGGCAATCCTCTTGCCTCCACCCCCCAAAGTGCTAGGATTATAGGTGCAAGCCATCATGCCTAGCTTTTTTTTTTTTTTTAAGGTCTAAACTTTTCTGGGATAGCTGAAGACGAATCAGGGAAGCTACAGGAAGTTGCTATGGGTAGCCCCTAAGTCCTTGGGTCGAAGCCTGGTGGTGCCATGAGATCTCTGTTGCAGGAAGGATATTCAGGGTCACCGGAGACTGCACTCCAGCCACCAAATGGAAAAAAATTCCTCCTTCGTATAGCAATTCTGCTCTGCGAGGCCTCTCCTTCCTCAGCCACACTCCCTCTCAGACACCAGCTCAGGCTTAGCTGCCTTCTGACTGTTTTGAAAGGAACTGGGGCTACCCTCGCCTTCAGGGGAAGCAGGCATCAAGAGCGGCCTGTGGGCACGTACCCCATTCATGGCGATGACGGTGCGCTGCCAGTCTCTGTCCTGCAGGGCCTGGGGGTCCAGCTGAAAAGCAAGGAGTCATGATTGACAGAGGCCCTAGGGTCTGTGCAGAGGTCCTGCTGGGCAGCACCAACACCCACCACCTTTCCAGGCCTAAGCTGGAGGCAGGTCCCGACTGTGGCCAGCACATCCATCCAGAGGCCACGAGAGGTGCAGGGTGAGGAGAGAATCTGCCAGAACCTCCTGGAGCTTCAGGGTTCCAGTGCTCCCAGACCTCAACTTGCCTGGGGCCTGATCATAGGGGTGTGGGACGGTGACAGCTGGGGGTCTTGTATCCCCTCCTTTCCCTGTTTCTTCCAGGCTGGAGTCCAGCCCGGCAGTCCTTCTCCAGGTGCTGCACGAGGTTTGGTGGAGGGTGAGAGGTCGGTTTGAAGGGCCCAGGTTCAGTGGCAACTTCCTGGGGGCATGGCAATCAAGAGTGGCTGTCTAGAGACTCACAGACACTGTTTTCTCTCCCTGCACCCTGGATTGGCTTGTGGTGGAGGAGTCTGTAGGCCAGGCCAGTCCTATGGCTTAGTCAGGCCCAGAAGGACCCAGAGTCAAGTCCTAAATCGTGCAGCTTGTGAAGGGGTCCAGGAGGAAACCCCTCTGTGCCTCCTCTAACTTTTACCCCATAGAGTGTTGTCCAAGCAATTGGTCTACAGGAACTAGCCATTTAATGTCATCTAAACACAGTCTGTGCTACTATAAAACACCCTAACCTCATGGCCATGCCACATACCCCTGCCCCCTGAAGCCTCTATCTTCTCCTTTGTGGCAAGCACACACTGTATATCAACGGTTCCCAGATCCACCGAGGCTGCTGGCTGGGTGGGTGAAGCAGCAGCACCTTGGGGGATCTTGTTAAAAACACTTGACTTGCAGTCTTGGGGGGAACCTGGAATTCACACAACTAGAAACCTCCCCAGCTGATTCTGGCATGAAGTCAGTCAGGGAGCTGCCGCCTGACACCTTACAACGTGGCAGGCATCACAAATGGCCTCATGTTGCATCCCTTCGTTTCTGCTACTGGGCAAGCCACTTAAGAGAAGGGCCACACTTCATGATTTCTGAACATGTGTACACCTGTGTATGCACACACAAACACACACACACACGACAGTGCTGAGCACAGTGCCAGACCTAGAGAGGAGCTCAGGACATGCGTCACGTTCATCCACAGCAAGAGACCACAGCTTTTGGTCCTTCAGCAGGTGAAGCTGCTGGCTAGGAAGGAGGAGTTCTGGAGCAGGTCAAGGAGCTGCTACCTCACAAGCTAGCTGCTGCTACCTCACAAGTGAGCGCACCCAGGCCTCTCTTCCAGGCATTGCTGGGGGTGAACTTTCTTCACCTCCCCTTCTAGGTCCTACTGGTTAACGTGTCCCAAGGATCTGAAGTGTACAGCCAGAAAGACACAGAAAAACAAAGGGTGGCAGCTGTCTCTCTCCAGGGGCTGTGTGATCACAGGTTCTCATTTCGTATCTGGCCCTTGAGGATTTTAGAGGCCACACTCTAGACCTCAGGGACCCCATGCCCAAAAGCAGCACCTGTGAGCAGGGATCAGTCAGTCACAAACCACTCACAAAGAGCAATCTCCCAAGTGGCACTTCCCCCCACCTCCCCAGGGCAGAGGCAGGAGGGGGATGACACGAGGCTTCTTCCTGGCTCTGGGGCCAGTAGAGCTTTCGGCTCTGACCAAACTAGGCCTGGATGGAGGAGATGTGAGACATGCATCACCCCCGACACCCATGGCCTGGCTGCTCAAGGAAAGGGACAGAGTGCCCTTCCTCCTTCTAAGGAAAAGGAGAGTTTAACACCATTATTGGGAGCTTTAAAAAGTGGAAACCCAGCTGGGCGCAGCAGCTCATGTCTGTCCTCTCAATGCTTTGGGAGGCCAAGGTGAGAGGATTGCTTGAGCCTGGGAGTTCAAGACCAGCCTAGGCAACATAGCGAGACCTCATCTCTAAAAGCAAAACAAAACAAAAACAACTTAGCCAGGTGTGGTGGTGCATTCCTATAGTCCCAGCTACGAGGGAGGCTGAGGTGGAAGGAGCTCCCGAAGCCAGGAGGTCACAGCTGGGGTGAGTCATGATCATGCCACTGTTCTCCAGCCTGGACCACAGAGTGACACTCCAACTAAAAAACAACAAACAAACCCAGAAACCCAGCTCATTAGGCAGGAGACATCCTTCTCTCGCCTCCACAAAAGAGTAATCCCTGCGTGCCTCTACCCTTGAAAACCCAGAACTGGCAAAAGCAGCCAAAGCAGCCCCAGTCAGCAGAGGGACAGAAAGAGGAGCCGTCTGAGACAGCTAGACGGCAAGGACCCTGCCCCTCCCAGCCCAGCCCACCTAGGAACCACAGCCCATACGCTGGCCCACCTTGCCCTTGCACACCAGGTTTCGGATGTGGGTCCACAGGGTGGTGCCACGGGCATACAGGTGCTTTTCAGCAGAGGCCACTCGGCTTCGGCCAGCCCGGCTGGGATGGAAGTACCGAAGGAGGCCCTGCATGGCAGTTGGGGTGGCTGGTGACTCTCGCATGCTGGCCCTGCTGCTCCAGGAGGCGGATGGGGCTGAACAGAGCTCCGTGGGAGCTCCCAGCCTCCAGGGCCTTTTGACCAAGCTTCCAGGGAAGCCCCGCCCCACAGCCTGGCTGGCCAAGGTCAAAGCTTCCCATCACCCCTGGGTTCCATTTTTTTGTCTGTGTGGGAAAAACACCCCCACGCCCTGAGTCTATTGGTTACGGGAATTCCAATATGTCTCCATCTCCTCTAAAGCCCAGAAAAGCTGAGCTTCCTTCTCAAGTGGCTGGTTTCCTGTGGCCCAAGTTTGGAGATGCTGAGTAACATGTGTGACTGGTCTGTCTGGCTCATGCTGGAGGCTCTCAGGAGACTGTTCCAGGGCCTTCACCACCCCAGCAGGTGACCCCAATAATCATATGCACTGCCTCTAATAGAACTAGGGCCAAGAATACCCCACACGAGGCCCCATGCATGGTCCCCGCTCTCCCAGAGCAAGCTGGCAAGTGATGGAGCAGCCTATGTGGGGCTCCAGTCATCAGTCACTCCAGGGCACTGGCATCTAGCACCAACCCCCGCCTGGCTCCGGTGCTGCCAGTCTGGCTCTACACTGGGCCCCTATCGGTGGCCTCCTGTCTGCAACTCCTAGTGACTGAAGTCTGGGATGTCGGCCCCTGGGAACCCAGTTCTTGTGGTTGGTCCCTGTAGGTGGCTCCAGTGGGAAGGGCCAGCCCGTGCTGGCTCCACTCCAAAGAACAGAGTGTGCTCAGCAGGATGGAAGCAGCATAAAGAATAGCACAATGATGAGGCCTCAGCCCAGGCTAACTCCAAACATCATTCAAGGCTGGCACGCTTCTCGTGCAGCTATTTAAAGCACCAGAGAAGTAAACAAGCAAGAGACCGGGCTTTGGAAAAACAGATGACCAAGGGGGAAACGGCAATCAAGGGAAAAACTGAAGCACTCCGGATGCTGTCAGGGTCCCCTGGGCTGTGAGGTCTTAGTGAGGAATGTATCTGCTGCTTGGTCAGGACCGGACAGATGGGGCCTGTCTGCTCATCCTCCAGGTCTCAGGAAAATAGTCTGGGTTGCTGTCATCTCCCCAAGGGTTGGGCAAGGTGGGGGCCTTGGAAGAACAACTGTGGTCGGTGGGCCTGATAGACAATGGCCTGGAGGTCTGACTAGAAAACTACCCTGCATGGCCATAATGGGCAGGTGGTGGGATGAAGGCTGGGGAAGGCCCAAGCCCACCTGGGGCTGGTGTTCAGTGCTGCCCTGAAGAGCCACTGACCGCCTTGCATGGTGGCTTTGCTGAGGACCTAGTGCTGTCCTGCTTGCTCTGTTGTATGTAGGGCCAGATGAGTCACCAATGGACGCCACAGGACATCCTCCCGCTCCCTGCCAGCAGGGGCGGGGGAGGTGCATGACTCAATGTCTAAAGAAGGAAATGCTCATTCCCCCATCACTCGCCTCCTCATAGACAACTTCCTCCATATTCCATGCCCGTCACCACCACCCTGGGTGGTCTAGCAGGGAGTCCCCAGCTGTTCTTGTTTGGGCCATATGTCAGCACCGCAATCTGCTCTATGGGGTGGGTCTTTGCAGAGACCATTGGAGAACCTCTGTGCTTGCCAGAAGAGAGCTGGCCTCCTGCTGTGATCTATGACCACAGTCTGCTCTCTTGAGCTGTATCCTATCTTATTTACTTATTTATAAAATGAAGATGGAATCTCACTATGTTGCTCAGGCTGGTTTCAAACTCCTGGGCTCAAGTGATCCTCCCACCTCAGCTTCCTGAATAGCTGAACCAGGTATAATGGGTCATCCACTTTTCTTTGCTACTCTTCTCTGATCCCAACAAGTCTCCAGCATCACTTTAAAAGACTGAGGAAGATTCCTCCTCTTAGGATAGACTATGACCATTGTGGGTGAGGATATGGAGTAACAGGAACTCTCATACTCAGTCACTGGAGATGTAAAATGGTATAGTCACTCTGGAAAAGTAGGACAGTTCCTCAGATAGTCAACTTGCTACACGACCCAGCAACCCCACTAGGTGTCTACTCCAGAAGAATGAAAACACAAGTTCAAAGACTTGTACCAAAAACATGTTCATGGCTGCATCACTCACAACAGCCCTAAACTGGAAACAACCCAAGTGTCCATCGACTGGTGAATGGAGGACCAAAAACATGGTACATGCATGCAGTGGAATATTATTCAGCCATAAAAGGAACAAAGTACTGATCATGCTGCAATGTGGATGACCCTCAAAAATATTATGCTAATTGGAAGAAACCAGTCACAAAATCTCTGGAATGATTCCATTTTTTTTTTTTTTGAGTTGGAATCTCACTCTGTCGCCCAGACTGGAGTGCAGTGGCACGCTCCCTGCCACCACAGCCTTGACCTGCTGGGCTCCAGTGATCCTTCCGCCTCAGCCTTCCAAGTAGCCGGAACTCCAGGTGTGTGCTACCACACCTGGCTAATTTGATTTATTGTAGA